TAGAAATGGAAGGAAGGAAGCGGAGTATTAGTACACCACTCATGGTGGGGGCTTATCCAGATTTGTTAACTCCCTGCCCTGTGTGTGGCTGAACTACACGCACTTGGCTACATCCAGGTGTTTGCAGTAAGCAGCTGGCCGGGTCGTGCAAAGCAAACAAGTGAATGCGTAAACAGACACTTCAGCAATTCCATATGTTTATGTGTGTAAGATCTATAACTTTTTATGTAGTAAGAGTTAAAGGAATGTGATTTATTGAATATTTTCTAAGTTTAAAAATACAGAAACAGGGCCGGGCGGCCGGTGGCTTACCCTGTAATCTAGCCTCTGGGGAGCCGAGCGGGCGGAATCGTTTGAGTTCAGGGTTCGACACAACCTGAGCGAAGAGCGAGACCCGTCTCTACTAGTAAATAGAAACATTATTGGCCAATAATTATATAGAAGAAATTAGGGGCGATGGGTGGCGCTTGACTGTAGTCCCAGAACTCGGGGGTGGCGAGAGGATATTGAAGCCGGAGTTTGAGGTTGCTTGTGAGCATAGCGCTGATGCCACGGACTCATGAGCCTGAGGCAACAAAGCGAGACTCTGTTCTCAAAAAATAAAAATACAAACAGGATGACCAATTTAAACATTCGCTGCAAAAGATGATGTAGTTTGAACGATTGGGCATAGTGAGAAATCATGATTTAGGATTTTTTAACAGTTGGAGATAACAAGATTTCTGTGGGTATTGATTTGGTTTTAGGCCTAGTGTAGTTTAGACACCTTAGAAAGAAAATGGAGAAAAGATAAGAACTGAAACCGAACCATTGCCAAGAGTTGGAGATAAAATAATTTTAGAAAGGCAAAGACATCAGGGGTTACCTCACACATAGCCTTTTTGGAAAGTACTGGGAATCTTCTGAAATGAAGGAGCAAACACAAAAAAGAGGGATGCATGGGATCAGAAATAGGGATCCAAATACAAAGTCCAGATATAGCTGGCTTGAAAACAACTATATACCGGTTTCCCCGAAAATAAGGGGACTTCTATTTATTTTTCATCAGAACACCTAGGGTTATCTTCAGGGGTTGTTTATTCTTTTTTAGTACGGTACAAATTACATGTATTCAATTATAGTTAAATACTCTCTGGACCATCTCATATCTCAAACCCGCATTCATCCTGAATTTCTTGTGACTACTATTTCCTTTAAAACATTGCGCCAATCTCTTCATGTCGAGCATCGAGCTCTCATGGGGCAGTGAGAGAGGCTGCTGTCCTCTTTACGTTGGAGACAAAGATGTGTGGTTGGCAGATATGCTGCGTAGTCATGCCCACACTAGGTCTTTTTGGGGTAGGCTTAGTTGAACAATGCTTAGAATCCTGTAGGCTAAAGTTAGGGTAGTTTATTCTCAGAAACACGCGAATAATTGTTAGCTGGGCATGGTGGCAGGTCCCCTAGGTAGTCCCGTCTACTTGGGGATGGCTGAGGCAGTGAGGATTGCTTGAGCACAGAGCTCCAGGCCGAAGCCTGGGCACATACTGATGTCGCCATGTCTCAAAAAAATAAATGGTTATTGATTGATTTGGATTGAAATAAGTCATTCGTTGAAGATAAAGCAAATGTAAAAAACAAACACGAATGTGTGGTTAGGCAATCACAATTCCAAGCAAAAGGAAAAAATATATATAATATATGATAGGAAGTAAATCATCATATGCTGTTTTTCTCCACAATGAGTAAACTGGTTAACCTTAAATCTGATAACTATTTTGGGACATATGAGGAAATGAAGATAGTGTGGTATAAAGCACTTGCCTCTGGAAGAAACTGACAGGATTATTGTCATTTTAAGACTTGGAACAATTTGATTTAATTTAACCATTCATGTATTTAATAAAAACAATACTTCTTAATTAATAAAGTTACACTAATCTTACGTGGTGGCCTCTTATTCTTTGTGTACTCTTAAAATTTCAAGAAACTCTTCAATGGCAATACATCTCCATTATCGCATAAAATTATAGAAAGGAAAACAGTTAGCCAAGGGTCCATGAAATCAGAAATACCATGTTAGGAAACTGTCAGGCTTTCTTTCATTTAGTTTAATAAATAGTTAGTTTAGTTAATAAACTAAAATGTAAAGCAAATGACCTTTCATGGTGCCTGACTCACCGCTTCCTGCAACCTTTGAACTGGGCTCAAGGGCCTCCTGCCTCAGCCTCCCAATGGTCTGGGACTGACTTGGTCATCTTTCATGTGGAATCAAGTCTCACTTTTTCCAGACTGATTTATGGAATTGATTTAATTATCACTGTAAGGTGATAATTTAAGCAAAATGTGAAATAAAGTATGTTCTACATATTGAGGTTAGCACATTTTGTTTTTGTGAGATTAAATTATGTAACATACCTACTTCCTTACAGGCAGTGTTTCTCAAAATGTCCCACTACACCTGTATGAGGATGGGTCCCAGCATCTGCGCTTTTAACAAGGCATCCCAAATGATTCTGAAGCCCGCAAGTTGTAAGGGACTGATTTAGAGTGCTTTCACTCTAAGGAAGACAAATTGTACTTCCTATTTCTAACATCTAACTGAACAAAACCCAAGCAAGTTTTAAGTCATGTTTTAGAGGTAAATATGTAAAGAGTAATGTGTTACTGACTTATTTAAACTAAAGACTCCATTTCTTATGTATTCATGTATTTATATCAAACTCAGAATAAGCAAACTCAGTAATAGGTGTCCATAATAAGGGCTTCTTTTACGACTTTCTTGCAAGGGCGCCTTTTTTTTCAGCTGCTTCCTACAGTTTGCTTTTTTTTTTTTTTTGGAGACTGAGTCTCGCTTTTTTGCCCAGGCTAGAGTGAGTGCCGTGGCATCAGCCTAGCTCACAGCAACCTCAAACTCCTGGGCTCAAGCAATCTTCCTGCCTCAGCCTCACGAGTAGCTGGGAATACAGGCATGCGCTACCATGCCCGGCTAATTTTTCTATATATATTTTAGTTGGCAATTAATTTCTTTCTTTATAGTAGGACAGGTCTCGATCTTGCTCAGGCTGGTTTCCAATACTGACTTGAGCAATCTGCCTGCCTCAGCCTCCCAGCGTGGTAGGATTACAGGCGTGAGCCACCACGCCCGGCCACAGTTTGCTTTTTAATCATAAGTTTCTGTTTTGAAGTACCATAAAGTTAGTGCAAACCAAATGATAGTTATCATCCAGCCTTCTCCCTAACAAGATGCTTTTTTTTTTCTTTTTAAGACAGGTTTCACTCTGTCACCCAAGCTGGAGTGCAAGTGGCCTCCTATTATTTCTGTGTACTCTAAAATTTTAAAGAAACTTTGGTGGTGGTGTATTTCCATAGTAAGCTTAAAAATGTAGACAGGAAAACAGAATTAGCCAATGGTCACAGAAAAAGCAGAAAGACCATTTGTTAGGAAACTATCAGGCTTTCTTTCATAGT